ACGGAACTCCGTTCAACATTCGGATGATAACGTTCAACTACGTGAACGTCACAGTACTGTCAATGAGGGGATTCACTCACAGTTTGATATGGGTCCCGATGACTTGCCTAAGGAAATTCAACCGATGTTAACAAGCCGTCAACGAGTCCTCCGCAAGTCATTGGTGGACAAGGAAGAGTGGCCTAAGTTGCTTTGTCAGGAACGCAGAGATTTCCGTCGCTCCATGAAAGCACAACGCCGCAGTCTGCGGACTATTTTTTCCCTTGGACCCTGACCAACTTTTTGGGGGATCTTACATGCCCCGAATTCACCCCGCCACGTTGCGGGAGAAGTCTTTACCCCTTTGTGAGACTTGAGCAACTTCTGTATATACAGATGCCTCACATGGTTCAAACTTGTTGTTGACTCACCGCTTCACAGTACTTGACCTTTACAGCCGAATATTTCACCGGCAATCGAATGCCCACAGAGTAGCATATTAACAATTATTGTCTCAGTTATTCTGATTATTGGACCTGACGCATCTACTTTGAAAGGCAAGTCGACAAGACCAACTCCAAAGAAGACACACGATGACTTCTTCAGTCCACCAGAGGAATTGTACCAACACAATCGAACAATTACCGTCTGTATTGATCACATGGAGATCGGAGATACTAAGTTTTTCACCTGCATTGATACCACTGTGCGTTATCGCTCATCTATCCCATGCAGAACCTCAAGACTGACCCTGTATTTGAAGCATTGGATAAGATATTCCGCCGCTACAATAAGACAGGCTTTCATGTCAAGACGATCAAGTGTGATCGGGCTTTCATCCCTCTGACGGATGATATGCTAGATGATATGGGTGTTACTATTGACCCGACTGCAGCTGGAGACCACGAGCCTACAGCTGAGCGAAACAATCAAACCCTGAAAGAAAGAGTTAGAGTAGCTCATGCACGATTACCCTACAAAGTGGTCCCAAAGGTGATCACTGAATGTCTTGGACATCGAGCCGCCGAGCTATTGAATGTCTTTCCCCAGAAAGACAGTATTTCCTCACATTTCAGTCTGCAGCAACTTATTGATAATGTCAATATCAACTACAAGAGTGACATGGTTGCTGAGCTTGGACAGTATGTTCATGCAATTAGGACGGATTCCAACAATTCGATGGAACCCCAAAGTATCAAAGCGATCTACATTGAACCTACAAAGGGACAACGTACTGGGCACCGAGTGCTCAACCTGAATACTAAGAAAATGATTTCTTGACCCAAGGTTGTCGTACTACCCGTTACCGATCAAGTCATCCAGCGTGTTGAAGCTTGGGCTGCTGCTGAAGGTGTTACCTCCATGATCTTCGATAAGAAGAGATTTGGAGACATTTCAAGATGGCGATCAAATCCCAGGAGTGGATGATACGGAACAAGGTTACTTAGAGGAAGCCTTTGATCAGGACTATGAACCTGAAGATGAAGATAAACGTGATTTCAACCTACGTGGACAATCCGATGATATCGATGACTCCGAAAGAAATGAGCTCTTGGCAGATGCAGACAACGATGTTGATGATATGCCGGAGCTCTTTGTCAGATTCCAAGGGGATGATGACTATGAATCAGATGACGACGATTCGGGTGATGAAGGCAATGAAGAGGAAGAACCTATTGTGGCCGATTTGGATCACCATCAAGAAAATGTCGATAGAGAAACCGATGATATTGGGAGCCTCGTTACTGATCTGGAGGATCTACAAGAACCGCCAGAAGAAGAGATCGTATTTGAGCCTGAAGAGCCTCAAGTAGCAAAAGTCACTCAATCTGGGCAAACGTATGCCCAAGCTGCAATGTCTGGGCAGAACCTTTCTCAAGTTCCAAAGAAACCAAGAGAATGGCCTTCGAGCAGGAGTGGCAGTTCTGCCAATAAGAACAAGAATGGAGTTGCGACAAGACACAAGCATCAAGAAAGGGAAATGAAACTGTTGAAGGACAAATTGAAGTCTGGTATTTGTACCAAAGAAGGAAGTCGCAGTACTAAATACAGTAAAGCTATACTTGAAGCACAGCACAATCTATGTTTCCAACAGATTGGGAATGAGATGAAAGCTGATTATGAAGAGCACGACGCTATTCTGATCGCTCGTTGCATGATGCAGATCAAGGCAAA